CTGAGAGAAAAATTAGAAATGGAAATATTCTGCTTTAAAAAGCAACGCTTTAGTATGTTTTCTAATGAGAATCAGATAGGTATGAGAGTGAATATTATTTTCATATAAACTTCATATTTCTAATTTTATTTTGAGATAAAAAAAATTATTGATCTTTTTTTTTTACCACATCAAATTTTCTACACATTGTGATTTGACAAAATATTCATTTCTGAAAAGTAGACAATGCTTCATACTTCAAGTTATTTTCCATTGAATCTAATGCTATTGTTGTTGATGAAAATCAATGTTTGGAATTCAAAACCAGAAGTCTCTGTCGAGACTGTAGCTCTACTGATTTGTACTTATAACAAAGGATGAGAAAAGAAGCCATTGCCATCAGACCAAAACTGTAGAAGGAGTAGTGTATTGAAGGAATTTCACAGACATTTCTATTTTTAGTAACAATGGCAACACTGTTCATCGAAATCAAAAACCGATGCACTATTTTATGTATCTTAGTGTAGTCTATTTGTGTGCCAAGTTATATTGAAATCAGACCAAAATTGTAGGAGGAGTAGGGTTTTGAAGGAATTTCACAGAAAATTCTACTTTTAGTAACCATGGCAACACTGTTCATCGAAATCAAAAAAAGATATACTATGTCATGTGTCTTAGTGTAGCCTACTTGTGTGCCAAGTTATATTGATATCAAATCAAAACTGTAGAAGGAGTAGCGTTTTAAAGGAATTTCACAGAAAATTCTATTTTTAGTAACCATGGCAACACTGTTCATCGAAATCAAAAACCGATGCACTATTCTCTGTATCTTAGTGTAGCCTACTTGTGTGCCAAGTTATATTGATATCAAATCAAAACTGTAGAAGGAGTAGCGTTTTAAAGGAATTTCACAGAAAATTCTATTTTTAGTAACCATGGCAACAGCATTCATCAATATCAAAAATCGATGCACAATTTTATGTATCTTAGTGTAGTCTACTTGTGTGCCAAGTTATATTGAAATCAGATCAAAACTGTAGGAGGAGTAGATTTTATATGAATTTCACAGAAAATTCTATTTTTAGTAACCATGGCAACACCATTCATCAAAATCAAAAACCAATGCACTATTCTATGTACCTTAGTGAAGTCTACTTGTGTGCCAAGTTATATTGAAATCAGATCAAAACTGTAGAACGAGTAGCATTTTATATGAATTTCACAAACAATTATATTTTTAGTAACCATGGCAACACCATTCATCGAAATCGAAAACTGATGCAATTATTTATGTATCTTAGTGTAGTCTACTTGTGTGCCAAGTAATATTAAAATCAAATCAAAACTGTAGAAGAAGTAGCGTTTTAAAGGAATTTCACAGAAAATTCTATTTTTAGTAACCATGGCAACACCGTTCATCGAAATCAAAAACCAATGCACTGTTACATGTATCTTATTGTAGTCTACTTGTGTGCCAAGTTATATTAAAATTAGACCAAAACTGTAGGAGGAGTAGTGTTTTGAAAAATTGTTTACAGACAGACGGACAGACGATGGGCACCTTACTATCGCATAAGCTCTTCTGGTCTCTGACCAGTAGAGCTAAAAAAAATTGTGAAATTTGGAGCAGAGGGATATTTCACCTTAACTGTGAAATTCATGACCAGTCATTGATTATATTCAGGGGTTCTGTAGCTGCAGATCTGTAGCTCTCCGAAAAAATATATATTGATAGACCGGAGAGCTACAGAGCCACCCATTGAAAAAACTGTATATTTATTGCGCACAAAAAAATGTGCTCGGTTTTGATATTATTTCGCCATGTTTTTAAACCTGTAATCTCATAATATTACTAACCATGTGTTCCTAACATATTCTTTGACTCTTTCCACATCAAAACATTCCTCATAATTGTTGTTAATAGTCCTCCTGGCCCTGATATTGCAATCATCGAACATTTTGCTTATTTATACTGCCATCTTGGTTTCAAAGATAACTCGGTCCAATATGCTTCGTTCAAATGTCAACTACGAGAGAACTTGATAGAGGAGAGAGGAAATTTTTGAAATCTTCCATTTCTTGCAATTGAGGTAAGGATTTTGAAGAATTAATCAAGAATCGAGCGCACTTTTTTGTGTGCAATAAATATACAGTTTTTTCAATGGGAGGCACTGTAGCTCTCCGGTCTATCAATATTTTTTTTTCGGAGAGCTACAGATCTGCAGCTAGGGGTTCTGGTGCTAGGACACTGGGATCTGTTGAATATACAGTGATATCATATTTCATTGGTTATTTAAAAATCTTTTTCCCTGCACCTGGGTATTAAGCAAACAAACTAAATGCAATGTGATGAGGAAGGGTGACTCTTCCAAAATTGTACAATTCATTGACCCAAGGTCAGGGGTTCTGGTATGGTGCTAGGGCATAACCCTGTTAAAATTAAAGTGAAAATGTATGATTTCTTTAAAAATCTTTTCTGACCCTGGGTATTTAGCAAAAAAAAATGATGAGGAAGGCTGTTTTTTCCAAAGTCAAGAAATTCATGGCCCCTGGGTCGGAGTTCCAGTGTAAGATCAGCCGTACATAGTAAAAATTCAATAATTTTTTAAATCTCCTCCTTTCCAATCCCTGTGACAAATGGCACATTGACTGTACTATATAGGTCATAGTCAAGGTCACAAGGTCATTGACATTGGTGTCATTTAAAAGAGCTTCATTAGTGGAGTATGCATACCAAATATGAAGTCTCTATCTTTTATGGTTCAAAAGTAATGGCGAAGGTTAAAGTTTGCAGAAAAAAGGCTTTTTTTTAGCATATAGGTCACAGTTAAGGATACAAGGTCATTGACCTTGGTGCCATTTAAAAAAGCTTCATTAGTGTAATGTGCATACCAAATATGAAGTATTTATCTTTCATGGTTCAAAAGTTATGGCTAAGGTTAAAGTTTGCAGACAACAGACAGACAGACAGGACAAAAACAATACTCACCCCAAATCTATCGATCCAGGCACAAAAAAATAGCTTTTTTAACGGCAAACTTAAACCTTCACCATAACTTTTGGACCATGAAAGACAGAGACTTCATGTATCGTATGCATACTCCTCTAAGTTCTTTTAAATGACACCAAGGTCAATGACCTTGTGACCTTGATTGTGACCTTTAAGCTAGAAATAGCTTTTTTGAACCTTCCACATAACTTTTGAACCATGAGAGATAAAGACTTCATATTTGGTATGCATACTCCACTTATCAAGTTCTTTTAAATGACACTATGGTCAATGACCTTGTGACCTGAACTGTGACCTACAGTATATGCTAAAAATATCTTTTTTCCAACTTTGTTGTCACTGGGTGCATAGTTTTTCACAAACACATCTTGTTCCTATATATTTTTATATAAAATTTTGATTCCCAATTGTGGCTCTGCCCAACCGCTGGGGGTCATGGTTTGAACAATTTAGAATGTACACTATCCCAGGATGCTTCCACACAAGTTTCAGCTTTTCTGGCCCAGTGGTTCCTGGGATGAAGAACCCCACCCTATTTTTGTCTTTTCTTGATTACTGTAAACGTATTACATTTGGCTGTGTATTCTTTTTAGCGGCTTTGGCGGAACGCAGCAACCGCTAAATCAAGTACAATGCTAAATGTCTCGCATATAAACACATACATAACAATATGAAGAAATGCGCTAAATCAAAACTACGCTAACTTATTCAAAAGTCATTTTCCGCCATATATCGTACACGCTAAATATAATACATTTACAGTATCTCCCCTTGTGATGGGACTTGGCCCTTCATTTTAACAATTTTAATTCCCCTTTACCCAAGGATGCTTTGTATCAAGTTTATTTAAATTTGATCCAGTGGTCCTTGAGAAGAAGTCGAAAATGTGAAAAGTTTACAGACGGACAAAACTTAAAATTTGTTATTTATCTTATAATACATATAATATAAAGTTCACATAGTTTACATTTTATTTAACATTAAAATAAACTTCTTTCTTTAGAAAACCTTGGCTAGAGAAGATGTGAACTAACAGCTTAAAGCAGACATGGTTATAATAGAGCTTACATGCTTACAACAAAGGTTTTTTTAAATTCCTTATAGTTTTAATTCATATTTATGAAATTAACAAATATAATGATTTTTTTATGTTTATATGGAAAATGTCCCTAGCTATTCACTTTTTAATTGCATAGTAAAATGTTAAATACATGAACATATAAAGGTATTCCCTTTTTTAATGGAAAAGATATACAGTACATTTAGTGTTACAAAATACAGGCTTACAGCTGATAAATAAACAAATATTTACTCCATACTTTGTATTACTTTTTTAAAATACATGAAATGATAACTTGAAAGGAAAAATATATATCCTAATTCTTGTAATACAATGTACTTTTAAAAATTAATTCCTTTAAAGGTGCATGGACACAGATTTGAAGTTAATATTTATTCTCTGTATAATATTACGACTTACATATTTTAATAACATTTCGCACAAAAATAAATTTAAAATCTTATTTTATTTAAAAGTTATTAGAACTTAAAATTTTTTGGCGGGTTTGATTGACACATCCTTGCACTTTCACAAATTTTAACTTTATTCTGAATACTTAGGAAAAGTGGCAAACTTGTTGTGTTTTTATGAGAAATATTAAAACTTTAATCCAGAAAAATAATTTTATTCAGAGTAGAAATGCTAGAAAGCAAAACTCCTTCACAAGTATCGTCATTATGAGCTAAGTGTTGTGTACAGAGTTTAGCAAATCGATCACACCCGTTAAACATAAACAGTTTTTGTTAACAGAGCACGAGCTCTGTTATTGTTGATGTTTATGATTCACCGGGTGCATTAAATTGTTAAAGTCTGCTCACCACAACTGCATGGACTGACAATATACTATGTGTATGTTTTGCTTTCGAACATTTCTACTCTGAATTTTTTGGATTATAGTTTTAATATTTTTCATTTACACACAACAATTCCAAAGAATTAAGAATAAAATTAAAATTTGTGAAAGTGCAAGGAAGTGTCAATCAAACCCACCAAAATATTTCAAGTTTTAATAACTTTTGAATGAAATAAGATTTTTATTTTATTTTTGTGTGAAATGCTATAAAAATACACATGTCGTAATAATATACAGAAAATATTAACTTCAAATCTGTGTCCATGCACCTCTAATTATCACAAGGCTGGATTCTGATGATGTTTCTAGCATAGATCATGTGGCCTTACACATATCAAATATAATAAGTAAACTTAAATGACACAAATGAAGAGTTTAAAAACGTTTCAGAAATTCTTCTGCACTGATTCTGGCTCTAGAATTAACAGCTAGTTTCATAGCACTTATTTCTTTGTCTATTTCCTCCATGAAGTGAATGATGAAATCTACAAGCTTGTGTTTGTACATCTGCTCTGTGTGGGTATTTGTGATGAGGAAACTGATGTCATAACCCTGAAATTTATCAATAGTTTAACCTCATTTTTCATCAAAGTTCTTTTTAACAAAGATTTAATGCTGAAGATTCTTTTATTGAACGTTAAGAGGTATGTAAACAGTTCTGCTGGAGTTGCATTACCTCAACTGGCTTCCTTCGGAGTACTGTGAAATGTTCAGCTCTCATCATCATAAAGCGCATAAATTTGTGACATAAAATCTTTTCAATATCATCAGCCTACAAATAAATTATTCCTCATAATGAAGGTCATAAATATACTTGTTAATTTTTCATTTGATCATTGTGAGTTTTGATAAACAAGAGGCCCATGAGTACATGTAACAACACTCACTTGATAAACTTTGAATCTGTTGTTCTACACCAGGTTTTGCCCCTTTGTAACACTTACTGAGGCCCTGCCCATCCTGAGGCATCTTGATTTGAACAATTTTGAATCTACACAACCCCAAGATGCTTCAACATGTTTCAGCAGTTATGGCTGATTGATTTGCGAGTTGAAGATTTTGAAAGATTTTTCATTGAAAAACTTTCTCAAAGGGGTCATGGCTTATCCAATTTTGAATCTACACAACCCCAGGAAACTCCCAAATAGCTGAACAGGCCTAATACTTCTTGAGAAGATTTTTAAGCATGCCATTGTACATTTTATAAATGGAACAACCACAGCTCAAGAAATTTTTATGTTGCTGTTTCCTGACTGATAAACAGGAATGTTTTTTAAAGAAAATAAGGAGATGTTATTTGTTGGATATGTAAATATAAATAAAGAAACACCATTGGGTCCATTAGGATTCTAACAGTGTGCTGGAAGATCTGGTCTCCAAAGACTGTACCTTAAATATTAGATAGAATGTTCTATCGTTAAAATGATATATGTCCTACGGACCCGGTTTAACGATAGAATGCGTTCCGTGTATTCACAATGTAGCAAAGTAAACACGGGCGATAACTCGTACTAGTGCATTTACTATGAACAAAAAAGTGAGTTCCGAGCGTAAACATGGCGTGTAAAATTGAAGCGAGAAAAAACGTTGAGAAATTTAGTTGAATTTTCATCTTTATTTAGACTAAACTTTAGGTTTAAATACTAACGCAGTCTCAAAAAGGTTTGTTTTGATAAATTTATAATTTATTTTTTATAGTGCAAATCCGTTTGTATCCTTCAGAATTGTTTCGGAGCGATTCTGCAATTTTTTGCTACATTGCGAGTATATGGGTGGTATTCTAACTGTGGTGAGGGCTTGTCCCGAGACACAGTTTGATTATTCTAACTACTTAAATATATAAGCAACTCCAGCATCGTTTCAGAGTAATAGTACTTGTGTGTAGAATCAGTGGTTTTCAAAAAAGTAATTTTGTTAATGACTAATCACAAGATGTGATGATTTCTGAGTTTGTTTTTATTGAAGAAGCAGGTGTCACAATATCAAAAAACCTAGTTTTTAATTTATTCTGAGGAATAGTTGTATAAAGTGAATTTGTATATTTTGATGTAAAAGAAAAACCAGAAGTCTCTGTTGAGACTGTAGCTCTACTGGTTTATACTTATAACAAAGAATGAGAAAAGAAGCCATTGCCATTAGACCAAAACTATAGAAGGAGTAGCATTTTAAAGGAATTTCACAGAAAATTCTATTTTTAGTAACCATGGCAACAACGTTCATCGAAATCATAAACCGATGCACAATTTTATGTATCTTAGTGTAGTTTACTTGTGTGCCAAGTTATAATGAAATCAGATCAAAACTGTAGGAGGAGTAGCGTTTTAAAGGAATTTCACAGAAAATTCTATTTTTAGTAACCATGGCAACACCGTTCATCGAAATCAAAAACCGATGCATTATTTTATGTATCTTAGTGTAGTCTACTTGTGTGCCAAGTTATATTGAAATCAGATCAAAACTGTAGGAGGAGTAGCGTTTTAAAGGAATTTCACAGAAAATTCTAATTTTAGTAACCATGGCAACACCGTTCATCAAAATCAAAAACCGATGCATTATTCTACGTATCTTAGTGTAGTCTACTTGTGTGCCAAGTTATATTGAAATCAGACCAAAACTGTAGGAGGAGTAGCGTTTTAAAGGAATTTCACAGAAAATTCTACTTTTAGTAACCATGGCAACACCGTTCATCGAAATCAAAAACCGATGCAGAATTTTATGTATCTTAGTGTAGTCTACTTGAGTGCCAAGTTATACTGAAATCAGACCAATACTGTAGGAGGAGTAGCGTTTTAAAGGAATTTCACAGAAAATTCTATCTTTAGTAACCATGGCAACACCGTTCATCGAAATCAAAAACCGGTGCACTATTTTATGTATCTTACTGTAGTCTACATGTGTGCCAAGTTATATTAAAATCAGAGCAAAACTGTAGGAGGAGTAGCGTTTTGAAAAATTGTTTACAGACAGACGGACAGACAGACAGACAGCTAGATGGACACCTTATTATCGCATAAGCTCTTCTGGTCTCTGACCAGTAGAGCTAATGATCAAGATTTGTAATTTTCACTAAAAACACCACTGCAGCCAGCCTTTAGAATATCAGTTAACTAGAAGTGAGTCAGTGGTTACATGGCACCGTGTTGACCCCTGACGAGGTGAGGAAGCACTTTGTTTATATACTCAGTGTGTTTTACCTTTATCTTCTTGTGATACTTTACCTGTTTTATCATGATGCTAATCCTTAAAGAATTAATGGATCCCTCTATAAGAACCTTTTCTTTCTCATTTCTGCTTATTGTGACAGGCGTAAGAAGAAGTTCTTTGCTGCTTCTGTAAATACATTATTCATGTTAAAGGCTACACTAATATCACTATGGGATTCACTTTAGAAACTACTTTGTTCATTGAGAAATGAATCTTGAAACTACTTTACAATGAGAACTTTTTTGCAATACACTTTGTATATGAAATTAATTTACATTTAAGGAATGCGGATTATAAAGCGTAAACTGACCCAAACCAGGTTATACTTCAATAATATGGCCAAGAATTGGAGTCATTCCTTATAATTTAATTTTAAAATAATTCAACAACTGTGGATGTAAAATTGTATTGCTCTTTATTAGTTCAAATTTGCCACTAAATAATACAACGGTAGTAACTGAAGCGGTGGGAAATGAGGGAAGATAATGACTGATACATAGACCTAGCAGCCATGCTGTTTGTTTACACGAGGCAAGATCAAGTAACTATTTGATGGGAAGGTACATTTATTAAATTTGGAATTTTCCATGAATCCCGAGGACTGGAAATGAGGGGATTGCATGGATACAGAAGATTCAATTGGTTGTCAAGGGGGGCGGGTGTCCCCATACCAAATCAGATTATACAGAAATATAATTTTGTTCCTTTTTGGAAATCAACCAATGAGAGGCTAAAATACAAATAAAACTAAATTACATCGTTATAATATTTTTTGCAAACAATTTTAGAAAACAATTTTAAAAACAGTACAGTCTGCGTGAAAGACATCTGACCATTAGACCTGACCGATATGCTGTGCCTCTGGTCTGATGTGTCATTTCTACACCAAACCATAAAATCTGATGTCCCTATAAATGTGCAGTTTTGAGCTTCACTATTTTGATGCAGAGTCATTTGTTTAACGAGGACCGATCTACTTGATCTGCGCATACGTTTTAACGCAGCATCGACTCAGGCACGTCACAGTACCCTGGACTGTCGTCACAATTGAATATAATAATGTCACAATTAACATGACGTCAAATTGCGCTAAAATGTTTCGCTGATCTTGCTCTATAGACTGTGCTAGTTGAAAGCTGGCTCATTCTGGCATTTTTATTACTTACATGTTTTTAGAAAATATTTTTTTTAAATTAATAAACAACTTTGAAACATAATTTATTTTGAGGTATCAATTTCTTGGTACAGATTCATTAATTTTATCTTGTTTCATTTCAATTTGTGAGTTAGAAAAAAATCCCAATGCAACCAAAAGTAAACGATTTTAGTCTTTCTCCTCGAACATGTTGAAGTGTTTATACTTTTTTTTTATTGAGCATAAAGAGGAAATTATGTCATAATGTGAGAATGATTTAATTTTTAGAAACTAATACAGTACTACAATCGTTTGTTGATGTTATGTAAACCTATTGCAACTTATAAAACATCTAGTTGGATAAAATAAGTCCTATTTTTGTGTTTTGATACACCCCCTTTTTACTGCAATAAAGGCTACCTCCGATTTTCTTTTCATTTTTTAAAAGAGGGATGCAAATTGCATGATATATGTGAAAATCAAAACATTTCATCGTTTATTTTTTTTAATTTGTCAATTCATTTGTTTATTGTGTAGTTTTAGTATGTATTGTGTATAAATACACGAAAAATGGTCCATATCTTGAAAGTGCCCCCATTTGACTACAATAAAGGCAAGGTAACAAAATTTCATTCTAAATTTTTCATAGCATAATACATACAAATTTATATCCAAGAATCAAATTTTTTTATCATTCCGTTTTCGTAATTTCCAATTAGATTGGGCCTCGTTAAAAATGTTTGTTATAAGTAAAAAAATACAGCAAAAATCCAAAAATGTAAATGGATGCGATTAAAAACACATGGACCATCTCAGTTTAATGTGTAATAAATCAAATCCTTTAATATCAATTATAGTATTAGTAGAATAATAAATATGATTTCATAGGTTATTCTATTTCATGCATTACACTTATTGTCGCAAAGTTTTATGGTCTGACAAAATTTAATACGCCTTCATGATGGCTTCATCCCTATGTTTTCACTTATTACACGGGAATGAATGTCCTGTGTGGTCAAAAATACTTTTGCATAGACTCCACTTCTGCATAGACTGAAGCATTGAATGAGCTTGACAATTCGTTTTAGAAGTATACTTATTTTAATTACTTTACTTCCACCTCTGGTTTGTTATGCCTTTCAACCACTTGAGAATCGAAATTCTGCAGACAGATCACAGCATTCAAGGTGCCTCGAATAGCATCCAAATATGGTTTCAATGTGGAAGACTGTTAAAAAAAAATTAATATAATATTAGGAATGATGAATTAATAATCATATAATCTTAATATCTGTTCAGTTACAGGCTTCAGAAAACATATATAGACTTGCAACTCTGACATTGATTAAAACATGATTAATCTAGGGCACATTAACCAGTTCTGCTCATGCATAAATCACAAGATCATTACATTATTATGCAAAATGTAATAACACAAAATGCAATAACACAATTTTTAAATTATTACATTTTGTGCTATTACATTTTGCGTAGAGATCAAGACAAAATGTAATAACTTTCTCTTTTTTTGTTACATTTTGCGTTATTTTATTTTTGCACTGAAAACAACACAAAATGTAATAAAACAATATGTAATAAAACAAAATGTAATTATTTTTTTAATTGTGTTTTACACAAAACATGTCATCATAAAAATGATTACATGTACCCAACATGGGAAACACACTTTACAAAATATATAGAACTAAAACAATGAGACCAATTTTAGTTTTATTGAATACACAGTACTTAATTATAAAGCATAATTTAACAGTTTATTATTGAAAAGAAAGAAGAGATAATTTTGTTTTTGGTTGTCTGCTGGTGATTTGTATGGAACAGTATGGTATCATAATTGTCAATAATTCCCCTTTCCTCTATATATTTACATCTGCCAGTATAAATGAAAAGGTTTTTTTTTAGATTCATTGCATTTGTATATAAAAAAGCAAAAGCACACTGGTCAATACCCCCCAACAACAACAACAACCCTGCCCATACATGCACGTTTCTAATTTGCAACACCTATAATTTGAATACATGCATTAATTTAAACTGATTTTTAATACATGCAGCTAATTAAATCAATATATATATTATAAAATTCATTAATTGTAAGAATTTGCATTTATCTATTTTTTTTAGAGGTGAAACGATACGCCTCCTTCACGGTTCGATACCTATCGAAAAATTTGGCCTCGGTTCGGTTATATTCGATACGATACATTTTGATAGAAGGAGACAGATTCAATGTTGTTTTTATGCTACCTTTTACTTAATCTAGTAAAATAATTTATGTACAAAATGGATAGAATGTATCAATTTAATTGATTTGATTGTTAAAAATTATTTTACAAACTTCGAGTCCACAAAAACACACGTTTCTGAACTAATTATACAGAAAAACATGTTTATACTTTATGCCAAACCCGACTGAATGACGATCCCGACCGAAAAACGAACCGAACCGAAAGTAGAGATTTTGTACCGTGTATCGAACCGAGAAAAAATACCGCGGTGAACCGATACCGCGGTGAACCGTTTCACTCCTAATTTTTTTCCTTTTGTTTTATTATCTTTTCATCGGGCACTACTCTATTGAAAATTGTACTTAATTTGGCTAAACAAAAAGTGTGTAATTACATTTGAGTGCTTGTCTTTTGCTTTATCTCGAAGCAAAATGTAACAACGCAAAATGTAATAATCCAAAAATTGTGTTATTACATTTTGGGTTATTATATTTTGAGTTGATCTCGACGCAAAATGTAACTAGATGTCATTGAGATGGTGGCCATCTCAAAGGGCCCCGCTTTTAGCAATGAACATGAAAGTGTAAGGAAGCTGAAAAGGGCTAATTTGGAAATTACTACTCCCTTAAAAATAATACATTAAAAAACTTTTAGAAATGTATCCTCCATGAAAATTGTTGCATATCCTCTATCATAATATCTCATATGGAAGGAAAATCACATACCTAGTCAATTTGTTTGAGGCCGAGTGGACTTAAGGGAAAAAAATTATGCACCAAACAAAGATTTTAAACAGAGAGGCTATTTTTGAATTTGACCTAGAAACTTTGGTCAAGGTCACTGCACATCAATTAACTACTGGCACTCTGTGAGTGAAGTATGAGCCACATTGGGCCAAGGAAAGTGAAAATATGCTCCAGACAAGAATTTAAACAGAAAGGCTAATTTTGACCTTGACCTAGAAACTCTCATGGTCACTGCACATTCAATGATCACTTGCACTCTGTGAGTGAAGTATGAGCCAGATTGGGCCAAGGGGAGAGAAGATATGCTCCGGACAAGGATTTTTCATATAATTCTGCTATGACCTTGACCTTAGACCTAAAAACATGGTTTAAGGTCACTGCACACCTATTACCCAAAGGCACTCTGTGAGTGAAGTATGAGCGAAATTGGGCCAAGGGAAGAGAAGATATGCTCTGGACAAGGATTTTTCATATAATTCTGCTATGACCTTGACCTTTGATCTAGAAACATGGTTCAAGGTCACTGCACACCCGTTACCCAAAGGCACTCTGTGGGTGAGGTATGAGCCAGATTGGGCCAAGGGGAGAGAAGATATGCTCCAAACAAGAGATCTCAGACGGACAGTCGGACGGACAGACTGATCACTATAGGGCGCCCGCTGAACGGGGCCCTAATAAGTAAACGCAAAATGTCATAATCCTCAAAAGTGCGTTATTACATTCTGCGTTGATTTCAATGCAAAATGTAATGACACAAAAGTAATAATCCAAGTTCATTACATTTTGCGTTGTTATTACATTTTGCGTTGTAACAATGGATATCTTCTTTTATCATATCTGATAAGTTTTAATTCTGAAGTAAATGATATTTTAGGGATTTAATAATTTTATTATTGGAAAGATATTCAACTATTTTTCTAATTGTAAGATGGCAATCTTTCATATCAAATTGCTTAAGAATTAAAGGACACATCTCTTCCCCAGCTTGCTTTCACTGGGCAACAGAACAAACATCGTTTTTAAACATCTCCCTTCCTTCATTAAAACAATATAATGACATAGCTACTGGCAAGTCTTTTGTCTTCATAAACTGTAAAAATTATTATATGCTTCTGCAAAGAAATTTCCAAGATATTTGTTTAATTTGCAGCCATTCCTTGCTCAAATACGACTGAATCAACATTTTTTGTCACAAGAAATCTACATATTGAAGTCATTAATTATCACAGTGTGACGTCACAAACATGGGGTAAAACATTTCATAACATATGCTATTTATAGGACAAGTGCACTTATGCAAAACTTAATGGGCCATTTTTCTGTGTCGTTATACTTTAGAATATTTTTATGTCAAAATTTAATTTTTTATTGTAGATATAGTAATCTCAGTCCTTGCAATCCTTTGCACCAACTGCTGCCCCTTCCCCCCTACGGACAAGTTTTCATCAAGCTTTTATCTGGACTACCTGAGATTGCTTGTTCATTGAAAGCAAGTGCAGCAGGTGGTGCATAGGATTTCAAGTTCTTATAATTACAACAATGCCTGAGAGAGAAAATAGAGAATTTGCCAGTGTGCTTCATGAAATATGCTTATGTGACAAATCTGTGTGATTCACACACCAATAACATTTCTTAATTGAATCATCATATGCATATAGATAGGCCTATTGTATATTTGATTTTTTTTTTTTAGTGATGACCCATTTTTTGCATTTCTTTGCTATCAATTTTAATTTGCAAAAAATAAAACAGACAGAAATTAATTCAAATTATGTTGATTATTGTGTACCATTAAAACAGGCAAAATAAAAACTCAGTTCAAATCTACTTCTTTTCTTAATATACAAAATTTGGAACATACAGGGGGTGGCTATATAGAAGTACATATTGTATGTTAAACGCTGCACTCCCCCCCAACAGTGGTACTGATACATATAACAATATATAATGACTAATCATCATCATGGCCCTTCTGTTCTTGTGGAGGATTTTTTTTAAAAATTCGTCTGAATCAGTTTTCCTTTCTAAAACAATTATTCCCTACTCATTGTGGCTCCACCCTCCACCCTTTTGTTGACATTTTTCAGTACGACTTAGTCTATCTTTTACTTAAAATGACAAGTTTTGTGTCAACTTCCTACATCTTTTCTGCTGCCTTTTAAAAGATACTCCACAGATAAAAGTGGGACACGCTTTTGTGAATTAACTTCGATCCCTGACTAATGAAAAAACTTAATACTGCCCTGAAATTACAAACTTAAAGGCAATCATAATAAAAACATTTTCAGAGCAAAATTTACGAATAGAGAAAACACCCACCATGTTTCTTCCTCCTAACACGGAAGTGGAAATAAATATGAGTTACTACCCTTTACGGAAAGATTTCGGTCTTTTCCGTGAATAATTTTTTTTTAAATCTGTAGACTAGTTACAAATGCAATCCTTCACTTTTGATAGTATATTTTTTGATGATTATAATAATTATTATTGTTTGTTTATTTATCTATTTTGTCTGCTGTACTCGACAGGTTTCCACACAATTCGTCCTCATGTTAATACAACACACGCACAATACCTCATATCTTGGATGTATTATGCAATATTTATAAAGATTATTATTATTATTAATATCATTCAATATTTTACTTTCCGCTTCTATTTCTTCACCAAAAAGTGTTTCTTTTCATGGTTACTTTGTAATCTTTACGTTTGAAAAGTATATTTAAGAAATACAATATACATGCATGTATATCTACACATTATATTATCTTGATACAGTATCATGGGCCTCTACAATAACCATGAAAACGGGTTGTCGGTCAACCCTTTCTCTAGACCGCTTAATGCCATATAGTTCATGTATATCTAGGTCCCATTGGAACGGGAGGTGTGGAGCGTGCTGAAATTCGGCAAATCCCTCGCCCACCCCCACCCCCGTTCTTACGACTGTAAAATAATTATCCCGCTACTAGTATATAACAAAATACTGTAGAAACCAGCTTGTGTCCCCTCAATAAAACCTTCTTGTGACTTTTTTCTTCTTTGGCTTGTCAATGAATTTTTGGTATAGTTGATTGTGCCCCCCCATCAGATTGCCCTCAATAAAACCTTCTTGTGACTTTTTTTCTCTGGCTTGTCAATGATTTTTTAGTATAGTTAATTGTGCCCCCCCCATCAGATTGCCCTCAATAAAACCTTCTTATGACTTTTTTCTTCTTTGGCTTGTCAATGAATTTTTGTTATAGTTGATTGTGTCCCTCCCCC